AAAAAAAAAAAAAAATTGAACACAGGGCCTCATTTATGCCAGGCAAGAGCTCTACCACTGAATTACACACCCACAGACCTTTTTTATTCTAAGATAGGATCTTGCTAAATTACCCAACCTGATCTTGAATTTGTGATCCTCCTGCTTCAGCCTTTGAAGACCCTGGGATCACCCAGTTATACCACCAGGACCCTCTGACCCCAAGCTCCAGCTCTTAACTATTAGAAACTATTTGTTTATCTTATTTTACTTTATTTTATTTTGTTTTCTTTGAGACAGGGTCTCGCTTGCAGTTCAGGCTGGCCTTAAGCTCACTTTGTAACCCAGGCTAGTCTTGAACTCGCAACAATCCTCCTGCCTCAGCCTCCCGAATGCTAGGATAATAGGCATAAGCCACCATGACCAGCTAGATACTATCTGAAAATGAGTAATGTACTAAACAGGCCAACTGGCAAACAACCCTCACCCTGAAGTTTATAACTTGAGTGCACAAACATAAGACATATGTGTATAAAACAACAGAGACAGGGATACATTGCCTGCCTATCAAGCACAAGGTCCTGACTTTGATTCCTGGTACCAAAAAACCCAAAAACAGAATACGTGAAAAAGTAGTGTGGTTTCTTGGTACTCATTGTTGACTGGTTCCAAAAGGCATGATGAGTACCAAGCAGTTTTGGCTGGAAAGGGCCAGGAGTCACAAGGCAATTGATTCTGGTAAATTCTAGCTGGCGTGCATATCAAAGAAATGCCAATTATAAGGACAAACTCTTCACATCAAATCCTGCCGAGTATCAAATGCAGTTTCATGGCATCGGGTCCTTAGGTATGACTGCATTTCAAGAGCTTGCAAAATGCACTAAGACACTGCTCAAGTTTCTTAAACACCCCAGGTTCCCCAGTTTCTTCAACTGTGAGAAGAAAGCAAGGATGGAACCTCCAGGATGAGGTCATGTGTACACAAACCCAGCTCACCAAATGCTTAGGAGTAAAAAACTACAGAAATGCAGATATATCCAAGATCAGTACAGCCCTAAAGAGAACGATGGCATTCAAAAAATGACCAAGGATGTTCGGATGGTTTAGGAAATAAGGAGTGCACTGAACAATCTAAGGAATCCTAGTAAAAAATAGGACTGACCCCAAGGCAGAAAGCAATGCACAGGTAAACTGCAAAGGCCAGTAACAAGAAGCAGAACACCTTCACCTCCAGTGTGCAGTGTTCCCACAACTGGAACTCCTGCAGGCACATAAACCTCATGGGCAGAACATTTGTGTAGTCTAAAAAAACAGACACAAACCTGTAACCCCAATACTCAGGAGACTGAAGCAGGAGGATTGCTGCAAATTCCAAGCCAGATGGGGCTACGTGGTGAGACCAGCTCAAAAACACAAAAGGAACAAAAACCCACCCTGAACTTGATAAAGGAGCCTCATGGAGACAGAGTTGCCATTTCCTTTGCCCCAGCAGCTTTCCTTTCACTCCCACAGCCTTGAACACAGCCCTGTCCAATCAGCAACACAGGTCTCAGACCCAAGTTTCTCCTGGCAGATCAACCTCTGGAATTGGCTTCTCAGGAATCAAGTTCTCTAACCACCTTCTCATGCCAACAGAGCTGCCGATGGCTGAAAGTTGCAAAGGTGCTGGATCTCACCCAAGGCAGCCCAGTATCTACTTCTCCCAAGAGCAAAGTCTAAGTATTTAGCTATGAATAGAGACTGCATCCTGTTTATAATTTTTTAGGAGAATCAATTTGGTTCCATTCAACACACTTTGGCCAAGACAAAATACTATTTTCCTTTTAACAGACCTGGCCCCAGGACTTGCAATTTGTGGCTCCCAACATAATTTCTCCTAAAAGCTGCAATTATCTGTATAAGATAATGTCGATTTCCAGTCGCCTATGGACCCCATAAAGGAAGACAAAGAAGCTCAGAGTCACCCTAAGTTTGCAAAGCCCAGCACAGGGTCAGATCCAGTCTAGGCAAGTGCTCAGGACACACTGCGCACGAATGGAGTATCTGTCTCAGCTACCCGAACCGTTCAGATAATTTCCTAAGAACCCCCTCAACAACCCAAAGCACTTAAAGCTCTAATGAGGTCCCCCAGGGGCTATCGTCTGTCACAAACTCATTCTCTGAGCGGTTACCAAGGGCTTCCTGATTGGCCAGAAAGTAAGAGACACACTGGTTGAGGAGGAGATGAACAGAGATGAACGGGGCCTCCCAGGGAAGTGGCCTGCAACGTTGTGCACCTGCTTGGGTTACTGTGACTGCTCTGGTGCCTGGCAGCAGCAGGGCCTGCTTAGAATCCCAAGGAAACCTAAACCCTGGTGTCTGTTAGGAAAATGAGGAGGGCACCAATCCAAGCCAGCTGCACTGGTCATTTAGCCAAGGGACACTAGTATCAAGATCCAGATCCTTAGGTTGGCCCCACAGCAGGATGCGTTAACTGTGATCCACTTCCACACTGGGCCTCAATTGGTCTCCAGTTTCTAGTTCTAATGAACAGAAATCCTTTCCATTTAGGGGTTCAACAGCCCAGACTTGAGCTTCTACATTCCATGGAAAAAGGACAAAGCAGGGATGCAGGAGTTGCTGCAGACTGGGGACAGGTGGTTAGCGGGTGGGGGGGATGTGGGTGGACCACAGCAGAGTGGAGGCCAGCAAGGCCTAAAGAGCAACACTGTCAGCTTTCCAGCCAAGGGTCTAGATCCTAGGGACTCCTTGCTGCCTGACAGGTGCCACTGCAGATAAAACAAGTGGGTGTGGCTGTCTGCAGATCCACTTTCACTACAAAAACAGGCCAGTAAGGATGGCTCAAAGCCACTCCTATCCTGGGTGCAGTGACTTTCAAGCTTTTTGACCTTGACCCATACCTCCTCCTCTACATTCCTCTCAAACCAAAGTTTGAAGAAGCCACATTTAACTGCATCCTCTCGTGTTGCTTTGTTTTACAACTGCAGAGACAAATCAATAAACAGACTTCATATCCTACTAATGATTACAACCTGCAGCTTGAAAAACCGTACCAAATCCGAGACAGTATAATGGGGGGAGAGATGTGGCTTCCAGCAGACTAGTTCTGTGACCTGAGATAAATGACTCCCCCCCCTCTGTTGCGATTTCTCTGCCTCCGTGGAGGTTAAATGAGCTAATGTGAGACATACTCAGCAGGCTCCTGGTGGGTAATCTTCGACCTTCCCATCCATAGTACACAAGTGGCACTGTCCCCCTTGGGGAGACTAAGTTTGGCTTTTAGGAGTGGACAAACACAGAAGTCACATCCAATGTACCAGCCGCACACGGCTCTCAACATCTATCAGCAGAGGGCACTGCATGGAAGGAGTGGAGCAGCATGCAGGCTGGCTACTCAGCCTTAGGGCTGTGAAGCATTCTAGGTGACCACCCGAGTCCTAACTGGGACAAGGAAACCAGCCTCAGCCAGCTGCTGGGCCAGTATGTGTCCTGATGACTCTGCTGGGATCAGGCCACCAGAGCATCCCTTCAATTTGCTTTGTTTTGGTTTTTTGAGACGTCTCACTATGTTGCCCAGGCTGGTCTCAAACTCCTCAAACTCCTCCTGGCCTTAGGGCCCCAGTGCTGGGATTACAGGTGCGTGCCACCACACCAGGTTCTTAACCTTACAGCTTTTAAGGCATTTGCTTTGCACCTGGGGAGTCAGTAAACTGTAGCAGCAAGTTTTTTTGGAGGCCAGAAACTGCAGAAGGTAAGTCTGACAGAATACGAAGCTGATAAAGATGACAACCTTAGCCCAACTCTATAAACAAAGTCCTCAGCACAGATGGGGGCTTTGCACGTTGTACACTCAAACAAAAGCGTTCCTGTACTGGGAAAAGCGTGGGACAAGCCTGGCTGCTTAATGAACAAAACCTCCACCGACTCTGAAGTACTCAGGGGTGTGGGATCCCGGTGCCAGGACAGACCATGACCACAGAGACTCTGGAGAGGGTCAAGGGACTAAGTGAGGGGGCATCACTAACTGGTGGTAGGGTGAGGCTCTGGTTCCCTGGTTTCCCAGTTCTCAGGAGCCCTACCATGGCTGTAGCACTGATTCAGATTCTAAGTGCAAAAGATACTTGACAGCCAGGTATGCTGTCCTACAAGTGTAGTCAGTCCCAGGTGCTTGGGAGGCTGAGACAGGCGGGTCACAAGCTCACGGATGGCCTGGGCCACTTAGGGACACCCTATCTCAAAACAAAAAATAAAAGGGGTGGAGGTGGTAGAGTGCTTGCCTAGCATATGCCAAGGCCTGAGTTCTACCCCCACTACAGAAAAAAACAAGAAGACAGTTAACAATACAGGCAGTATTAGCTCAAGACAATAGGACTATTTTAGCAGCTAGAATATGGACACTGGGCAAGCAGGAAACGCTGTAAGATGGCTTCTACTTATTTTCAAGCCCAATCAGTAATTCTATGCAATTAAACAAGCTGACCAGAACCCTGAGGGGTGAAAGATAAATCAACTTCCTTCAAAAATACAGATGCCATCCTTACTTGTTTACCCAGGAGAGTGTAAACATTCTATTTAGAACCTTTACATAGTTGGGAGAGATTCACTGAACGCTGGTAATTGTGGGCATGTCGCCCTTGTATCCATCTGGCCACAAGGACCCTGAGGAGTGGGTGCTATGCTCAAGGCCCACTGCACACTGCCGGGGAGGGGCCAGGCCTGGACACTCTTTTCTGGCTCCAAAACCCACAGTCTTCCTCCACATCCTGTTGCCACCTCCAGGGCTCAAAATGTCACCACCTGCCTGACAAACGAGGAGCTGAGTCACCAATTCACTCAGATGCAACGTAGCAAAAAAAACTTAAAAACCAGAAAGAACCTTTATCCAGAGCAATATGAACAGGAAAAGTAAAAGTAAACTGTGCTCCCAGCAAATTTCCTGTGTTCTGCTGTAACATAGCAACTGTATCTATCACTAACCAAGGGGCCCCATCTTCATTTTTGCCATCAACTGGTAACAATGACCTCAGTGAGCAATACACCAATAATCTTAAACCTGCCCCCCTCACATTACTAAGCCAGTGCATAAAACCTCAGCTCGAAGTCACTGAGACTGCATCTGCATTACTATCAAAAGCAAAGAGCTCTACAAGGAAGTCTTGGCCAAGCAATTTGGGAAGCCAAATCCATGAAGATTGGCTCCCCTCAATCTCATTTTTACCTCTTCTCACCAGTTCTCACAGAACTGGCAGCTTCTCCATATTAGGTTCTAAGTATGAAACTGGCCCCAAACCATTTATTCCAACAGGATTCCCTCCAGCAATGAGCAGATTGTTCTTAGGGTCCTTCAATCAGCCTAATAATATACACCAATTGCCAGGAAGCACAGAACCTCCCTTTCTCTCTCCTGCTATATTAGCAGCTTTGCTGCCAGCCATGCTCCAGGGTCAGAATCAATTGCTCTGGCACTAGAAGATATTGTCCACAGACACCACAGATAGGTTCTCTGGAACTATGGTTTGGCTTAAAGCTATCCAGAGAAAGTTTCAGTAGCAATTTTCACCAGAGGTATTTATTGTAACTAGATCTGGCCCTTATAAAGAGATGTTTCTAAGGACTCCAGAGCCACAAAAATAAAATACAAGTGAACAGCTTAAGGCAACCTTGAGATAGCCATTTCTTTCCATTAGGAAGGGTAAAAGATCTAACAGCATGGAGCGGAGATGAAGGTATTATTAGAGGGGGAGGCATTATTAGATGAATTTGCTGACCAGGCTCAATGCAACTGTTCCCCATTTAACTGTATGGAAATTTACAAATGTAGGAGCCAAACGTTCAACTGATCGGGCAGTAAACAGCCAAGAAGGTCTTCATTTCCACAGGTGAAAAACACTTTTCCCATGGGATCAGCCTTCCTGGATAATACCAAACCACAGCAGTGGTTTTCTAGAACAGCCAGCTCTGCTTAAACTTCTAGCTTGATTTCTCTAACGAAGTATGTCTAGAATCAAAAATTTAAACCTTCAGAGCAAACTGAAACCCTGACTCAGGGTCAGGAAGACAGGACAGACTGGGATTAGAAAGCCCTTTTGGGAATCCTACTTTTTTTCCTATAGATGAGCAAACTTGAGACAATAAATTAAAAAAGGATTTTGACTATAACATCCGTATTTTCATGGTCACAACTGCTTTCATTTCAAATGGGAGATCCAGATTTGCTTTGAAATAAATCCTCTCTCCCAAGGTAACAAAAATTTGAAAGTTTTTTTACATGTTTACAATTTGCTGTTAAATCAGGCATTCTGAGTGACACCCTTTTCTTTTTCTTTTGCAACATCCATTAATTTCATTTTTAACTACTACTGGTACATCAGTTTAGGGGAGAAAAAAGGTAGTACTGTGACATTTTAAAAACAAGGTTTACCAAAATGCAAATGCAGTCTGACTGAATTATTGGGGCTTCTAAAACTTGGATAAGATTCCTTTGAGAAAACAACAGAAAAACAAAAAACAAAAAAGCCTTTGTGTTGATATGCCTGAGGAGGTCTTAGTTTGGGGAAATTATTTTCAGATTCAGCTGATTGCTAAAATTGTCACTTACAAACCATATTCTATTTCCTTAAAATTGCATTTTAAAAAGTAAACTTAAATAAGCACTCTTCAACAATTCAGTAATCCTATTAACTTGAGAGTCATCAGTTAACATCCAGTTTCTGCTTTTAGTTCCTGGAGGAGGAATTTTTATCAAGGATGGGAAACTTCAAGTAAGTGCAATTCCTGTTCAGCCTGGACAGTGTGTTCATTTCGTGCTTCGGACATTTTTCATAGGACACTACTCATTCTGAGGATTTCTTCCTCCAATAACTGAGTTTATACACTGAAGATCACCACTGTACCTTAAGGTGTGAACACATTAAGAACAAAGTGGCCTAACGAACTGCAGTTCATGTTTCATCTAAACGTGAGTGAACACGTTTCTCCTAAGAATGGAAAAAAAAAGAAACTATCTTTCGGAGAATGCTAGGTTGGTGTGTTAGAAAGATTTCTCTAACGAAGTATGTCAGGGACCAAAGTGGGCCAGAATGAAAATGGAACTCCAACATGTTTTTGTCTTTTAACTCAAAAACTTATGCTTGTAAAACACATCAGAAGCAGTGTTTGGTTCTGCAAGTCATTTGTTTGTTTTCTTCCTTTGTACGTGTACGATAGGGGACCGGAGGTGTTCTCTCCAACATGACTGGGCGTGTAACACATTTTGCATCAACTTTTCACGGTCAGGCATGTGCTTTCCAACAAAGAGCAGTGGAGACAGGCAGAGATTGGGGCTTGACACCGTTTACACATTTTGTGCTTCGACAGTACTTTACAAATGACTTGCTCAATTTAAACGTCCATCACCACAAGAGACATTGGAATAAAATGAGGAAACTGGATCTACTTGAACCACAATCTTTTTGGTGGAGAGGAGGGGAGAACTTTAACTTGAATGCAAGTATCATAAACCAAATTCAGTAAACTTGTCTCCTACACGTGGCTGGATAAAGTAATGGATATGGAAAGAGGGTCCCCAAGAGGGTCTGAAAACATGGGCCTGTTACCCAGATTTTTGTCATGTGACAGTAATACTTTTTTTTGAGAAAACTGTGTACGTCAAATCTTAAAAATTAAACATTGAAAGGATGTGCAAGTCTAAAAGGGCTCAACAGGGTTAGAAACCTGATTTGAACATATAAATTCATTCTCTCAAACATCACTTTGGTCTAAAGGCGAGGAGGAAGGCAGGCAGGAAAAGGGACAAAGAGGGAGATAATTGAATTACTCAATAAAAGAGGCTACTTACCATCCCAACCCATTGTAAGACACACACTTCTGACATAAGAGAACTCCTTAGAGGTCGAATAAAGCGTGTGAGCACCTTTGAGTAATGCACCTGCCCCCAGAGAGGGGCCCCGGAAGCCCAACGTGGGCTTAGCGAACAGACCTTTGCTAATCTGTTTATTTCCTTGAACTGGAGTCGGGCTGCGAAGGGCTGCGAGTCCCAGGACGATACATTTAATTAAAACAAAACAGGAAAAAAAAAAAAAAAAAAACCACCAAAGGAAAATAAAAAAATTTTGTAAACGCTCACCAAACTGCTGCACTTGTGTCTCTGAATGTGGGTGGCATTTCTTTTAAAAAGCAAAGTATGGTCTGTGAAGGAGAAAGGGAAACGGGGAGGTGGGAGAAGGGGCCGTGGAGTCTGAAGGGGAAGCCCTGGCTAAGACCCCCGACTGCGCTGCACCCTAACAGCCATCCGTCCGGCGCGTTCTCTTCCCCTCCCCACCCCCACCCTGCCTCGCTTTCCTGCCGGCTGAACCCCACCTTTCTTTCTCAGATGCTCTCTCCAGCCTCTCCCGCTAACCCGCCAGGAAGGGTGAGCGAACCCTGCACCCCAACGCCATCTGCTCTAGCAAGGAAACCGGGTCCCAAACTCATCCTGAAAGGCGCGGGGCTGGCCCCATTATCACGCGCCAGGGAAGGGCGTGGGGACCCATTTGGAACTGAATTAAAGGGGCAAGGGGCGTCCCTTTCCACCCGCTGCCAACCTTTTCTTTCCGGGAAGGGAGGGCGCCCCCTTTTACCCTGAGGGGCGAAGCCCAGGAGAAAGCTAAGGGCAACTTCCTCTCCCTTCTAAGCTAAAAAAACCAAACACACACACACACACAAACCCAAACACCCCCTAAAATATACGGCCGAGGACCCTCCCTCAGGTCACCTACCCACGAAAAAGGAGGGACCCCTCCCTCTAAGGGGAAAGGGCTTCTCCCCCCAAAAGAGGGTTTCATCAAAAAGGCTAAAGATGCACCTCACGGTTCGGCTTTCTAGGGTGTAGCTAGAAAACACATCCCGCCAAAAAAGTGCGAAGGAGCCGCCATCAAAGGTCCCCCATTAGAAAGATTAAGACTGGGCGAGCCCCCACTTTCTGCCTCCTAAGAAACCTCGGGTGCCTATCCAAAAAGGGCAGGGCGCGCCTCCCCCAGGAGAAAGGATACTGCCGGGGGCTGGAAGACCCCCCTCAACTCCAAGCCCCTAAGAGCGGGGCTGTGGCTCGCGATCCCCCCAAAAAGGGTCCGGGAGCCCCTCCCCCACCCCGCCCCGAAGCCAGGCGGCGGGCGGGCCGGTGGCTGCCAGCTCCGGGCGCAGGGGCAGCGCGGACCCCGCGGGCCTCCACAGCGCCCCCCGGCGCCCCCTCCCCAGGGCGGGCTCGGGGGGTCCGGGGGGCGCCTCCTCACCTTCCCCTCAGCATGGCGCCCAAAAAAGACAGAGCAAGAGCGAGGGAGAGCGGGCGAGCGCCGCGAGGGGGGGGAAACGCATGAGGCCGGGAGAGAAAGCAAGCGAGAAAGAGCGAGGAGCAAGAGACACCCACCGACCCCGCCCTTCCTCCTCCTCCTCCTCCTCCTCCTCCTCCGCCGCCGCGGCCCGGCCCAACATGGCGGCCGCCCTTCCTCCTCCTCCTCCTCCTCCTCCCCCCGGGGGCGCTGCCCCGGCCCGGCCGGGGGCCTGACCTGTCGTCAGGGAGCGGGAGGCGGTGGTGGAGGAGGTGCGGGGAGCTCGGGCGGGCGTCGGGGGAACACGGAGGAGGCGAAGGCGATGATGGCGGCGGCGGCGATGGCGACGGCGGCGACTCTGATGGCGGCGGCGGGGGGGTCCCGGGCGCGGCCTCCATGGATCCTTGGGGGGGAGGGGACGTGAATGCACGAAAAAGGACTGCTTGGGCGTGGCGGGAGGGGCACACTTCGGCTCTGAGGGCTCCTGGTGGGAGCTGGGTCTGTATTTTTTCGGTTTCGGAATCACCTCGGCGCCGACTTCCGCGTAGGCCGCGCGGCCTAGGCCCCGGCGGGCCGCCCGCCCCGCTTTCTCCGCGGCCCGCGCCTGCGGCCGATCGCTCGCTCACGGGCGCGGGGCCCTCATCGCAGCGAGCGCCCCCACACACACTGCCCACGGGCCCGGGGCGGGGTACCCGACGACACGGACACTAGTGGGTTGGTTGGGTGTGATTAGCGCGGACCGCGCGATGGAGCAAGCGAGGGGGGAGGGGAGGAGAGGTGAGCGAGCGAAGGAAGATTTTAAAAAAGAAAAAAAAAGGATTTTAGGAAGAGAGGAAACGGGCTGGAGAGGTCGGCCGACTGTCTTGTCTGCCCGCCCTAGGTGCCCGGCCCCCGCCGCAGTCAGGAATTCACACAAAATGGCGGCACGACCGGGACGAGCCTAGATACTGAGGCGGGAGGAAGGGCGTAGAGGGAGGGGGAACTGAGAGGTGGAGGCCCGGGATGCGTCACGCGGCCGAGACTGCTTGCCGGAAGGCCGGCGGAAACAGCCGAAAGGAAAGGGCGAGGCCGAGGAGAGGCGGAAAAAGCCGAAAGCGGCTGAACCGGCAATAGCAGGAGGCTGGGGTAAGCCGGAAAAAAGCTAAAGGTGATCTGGGCCACCGAGGTAAGAGAAGCCAAAAGAAGACGGAAACAGCCGAAGACGATGATAGGTATAGGGCCAGAGAAAGAATAGGGCGCCGGAAAGAGCCGAAGTGGATGGGTACTGGGCCGAAGAGGGCGGAATCAGTCCGAAAAGAGCCGAAGATAGATAGTTGTAGGAGGCGGAAATAGCCGAAAGAGACCGAGCCTGGGTAATGTGACTGAGAATAAGTCGAACGGGTAGGGACTGAAAGGCGACTGACTGAGAGCAGATGACTTTGAGGAACTCGCCAGATAGCAAGCGAGAAGAACTGGAAACTGCCAGCTTGAAGGAAGGCGGAAAAAGTGGAAGATTTTAGGTAGAAGAATGGGAAGGAAGAAAAATTAACCGAAAGGCGGAGGTCGGTCCCAGGAGTCGTAGGTTTCCGGAGAACAGGGGCTGGAGTAGGGATTGGCGGAGATGGCGTCACTAGATACCTCGGTCGGTGACGTCATGGAGGGCAGAGACGGGCGGGGCTTGCACTATGGAACCTTCCACCCGGAAGCTTGACTTGTTCCAAAACTAGTAGTTTTATCAGGGTCGCGCTGCCCTACGGACAGCTGCTGTTATTCCCCTTCCCAGAGCTAGGCGCGGTGGCGCACACTACTTAGGAGGTTGACAGGGGAGGATTGTAAGATCCGGCCTAGCGTGAGCAATTTAGCGAGACCCTGTCACCAAATCAAAATAAGAAGGAGCTAGAGATACAGCTCATTGCAAAGGCTCTGGTTTCAGTGTTCAGTACAGGGGGGTAAAAAAGACTGAAGGATGAAGTAGCTCCAGGTCAGAGGATCACGACGAGATTTTTAATCAAACCTGTCATTCTGCTGCCTCCTGCAAAACTTGTTTAGTCCCATTTGCCTCCTGTTGTCACCGGGAAGTCAGGTGCTGACACCGCAAGGAACAGGCACTGGCAGATCTCCTTGGTCCTTTTGTGCCCTTGAACCAATTCAGTCAAAACGCACAGGCTGCCAGCAGAAATACACGTAGAATTTGTAGTAAACCAGGCATGGTGGCGTGCTTGTAATCTCAGCACTCGAGAGGCTGAGGCAGGAGGATCACCTTGAGTTTGAGGTCAGCCTAGCTACATAGTGAGTTCAAAACCATCCTGAACTAAATAGCAAGACCTGCTCCCCGCCCCCCACCCCCGCAAAAAGAGAAAGGTACTGCAGTGACAAGGTAGGCAATGCCACAAAGCGCTGTTCCCGAGTTCGAGCACAAAGCGCTGTGCCCGAGTTTATCTTTTTGTACACAGAAGTAACTTCTGAGGGCCAAGGAACTAAAATAATTGTTACTTATTGACCTTTTCTTAGAAGTTACTTTAGAGTTACAAAATGTTTTCCTGCCCTTTTCAAATGGCCAGTGTTCCCTCAGGGGCCTTCATTATGTAACAACCTCAGGAAAAATAGCCTGGCATGGTGGCTCTCTCCTGTAATCCCAACACTCGGGAGGCTGACGCAGGAGGATTGTTGCATGTTCAAGGCCAGCCTGAGCTACAAAGTGAGCTCAAGCCCAGGCTCAACTGCATAGCGAGACCCTGTCTCAAAAAGACAGAAAAAAAAAAAAAAAAGGAAAGAAATTTATGGAAGATGTTTCTTAATGTAAACTAGATCCCAGGGACTGGGGATTTAGCTCAGCGGCACAGTGCCTGCCTGGCAAGTGCAAGGTTGTGAGTTCGATTCCTGGTACCGGAAAAAAAATCAAAAACCAAAAAAAGACTACATCCCAGCCCAAGGCAGGAGGCTCTTCAAAGACCATTTCTTTTCTTTATATCGCTGGGATATAAGTTATGGCGGCCAGGACTAATGTGTGCCTTGTTCTAGAAGAGAACCTGTGTCTAAGGGTCTGAGAGGTAGTAAATAATCAGAAGTATATTATACATTGAGGTCTTTGCTCCTTTACTTGACTATAACTGGCACATCATATTATTATTATTTTTCTCTTGAGACAGGGTCTCACTATGCAGTTCAGGCTGGCCTTGAGCTCCCAATGATCCTTCTACCTCAGCCTCCTGAGTGCTGGGATTACAGGTGTGCGCC